TGCTAAAGCAAACAATTTATCATACTACTTCCTTATAAAGTTAAACTATAAAAATGAGAAAGCAACACTTAAAATTTTTGTCATCATTCAAACTTTTAAAACACACACACGTCCACCAAGCACATTATTGGGACAGAGTGCGTCGCTGTGTCTGTCATTCACCATACTTTCTGCTTTTCCCACTCCTGACTTCAGTGGTTCATTGCCGTGGCCAGGCAGGACTCATGATGATGGACACGATGATGGGGTTAATTAAGAAAGTTACTAGGTTGCAGTGCAGGTGAGAGTTTCTCAGGATCTAGATGTTCAGTAGAACACGTTACTGAGTTCCTTCAGGGATGCTGAGAAATGCCCAAGCTGCCACTCCAGCTAAGCCTCAACTGGAAGGCATCCACCTCGAGCTCCCGCGTCAGCGCCCCCGGCTTTCACAGTTAAGTGCCAGAGACATCCCACTCCAGTAAGGCACCACCTGAAGACACTCAACTCTACCTTTGTGGGTCAGTAAGCCAAACGCCCTCCCCCCCCCCTCCCAAGGACTCAGAAGTAAGTACCACCACTCCACAAGCCCGCCTCCTGCTCCCCAAATGCTGAGCTGTACTCGCTCAGTGGCTGGGAAACCCACTACTCTCATGCTTGGCCCCGCAAACCCTGCTGCTACTCTGATGGCACAACTGCCTCTGGATCCAGGAGGTTCGTTGTGCAGGGTCTCAGGGTTCAGAGTAGGACTGCCCTCGTGGGTTTCCAAGACTGTACCTCTTTTAAGGGAATAGAAAGCCACATTTTTCTTCTATAGTGAGCCTGATGCTTTTAACCCAGTACTCCGTGGATGAAAAGAAAATTCAGATAAGGAAATGACAGGAAGGATAATTTTACTTCTTAGAGGAAACTACTGTTAATATTTTTGTATATTTAGTTTCAGATTTTTTTTCTCACATGCTTATATGGTTAAAAAAATGGTGTCATATAGCACATCCTTTCTATAAATGACCTCTTCAGTCATCAGTGTAGTGTGATTATAGCACGTGCTATTAAGCGTATTTCTTTATTTGTTTATCGTTGTTTTCTTTTAATTTCAGAAATATCTTTATAATATATTTACTGCAAACAGTCTTAAAATACAAAAATAACTAACAAAAAATAAAAGTTCCCACATAATCGTATAATCTTTATCCAGTAGTTGTTTTTAATGTCTGTTTAGTGTCCCAGTATGTGGGTGAGCCGCAGTTTACTCATCTAATTCTCTATAGTTTTCTTTTAGCAACGAGTTGTAAACTGTGCGGTAAGCCATACTGCTGGGACCAGCTCTCTACATCACCAGTTCCCAACCTGTAGGTTGCAGCCCCTTTGGGGGTCGAACGATCCTTTCACAGGGGTCGCCTAATTCATAACAGTAGCAAATTTACAGTTATGAAGTAGCAATGAAAATAATTGTACAGTTGGGGGGTCACCACAACATGAGGAACTGCATGAAAGGCTCACAACATTAGGAAGGTTGAGAACCACTGCTCTACGTGCATCTTGGTGTAACTGCCCAATTCTCTCATTATAATACTTCTTAGCTTGTACTGATTAGAGCATGTGTACACTTAAAGATTAAAACAATTTTTATTAAGTACAACTGAATTCATCCAAAAAATGATACCAATTTGTTTCCTGATCATCAAAAATTATTTTTGATGATCACCTTTTTCAATCAAACCAGCTAAAACTTATTATTTAAAAACCTAGCACATACCAGCCAGTCTGACTTAGAAGACATCATAGTGCCTTTTGAAGTGAAGTTAGCTAGACATATATAAAGACTCCCCTCAACTGGAACACTTGCTCATTGCAAGGGTCTGCATTGTCCCGAAGGGCCAGCAGGTTCTGACAACAGCCACTCTTGAGCTCTCGGGGCTGGCCAGAGACTCCTGCTGCCTTCTGCCCGCTGTGGACCTCAAGTGTGTGCTGCCTGCAGTCCCAGTAGTCCAGTTAGCCAGGGCATCATGTGGCCGGGGCGTGAGTGGGGCTCTGCTGTTGTGTCTAAATTGAAGCAAGACATTTTTTTCCCTGAGCCCAGCCTCACTTATTTCTGAGGGTACAAGGTGAGACAATTCCTCGTGGGTTGAGAGAAAGTAACAAATAGGAACTGATGGTGTTTATGGGCCGTCTACTCTTTTCCCCCTTATTTGACCAGCCTAGGAAAGGTGACCCCCAAAGTAGTTCAGAATGAATGCAGCTTCTATCATTTGGGTCTGCTAAGTTTACCATCCAGAGGAGCCCCTGTGGTGTCATGGCTTAACTGCAAGGTCGGCATTTTGAAGCCATCGTCCGCTCTAGGAGAAAGAGGAGGCTGTCTGCTCCCCTAAAGAGTGACAGTCGCAGAACCCACAGGGACAGTGCCACCCTGCCCTACAGGGTCGCCAGGCGTTGACATTGACTGGACAGCAGTAAGTTTAGGGAATTTGTTTTAAGTGGAGCTTGAACGTGTGCTTGGGTTGCTGTCTCTGCATAACCGTTTGTGGGCTGCTCTTTTCTTTAGCGGGAGAGGAATGGGTGTGCCTGTCCGAGTGTTATAAGCGTATGGGTGGCAGGTTCAAATGGAGTCTCTCTTAGGCTGGGTTCTCTAGAGAGAGAACCCAGGGACACTCATCTCTGCGTAAGAAAGGACGTTTTATGGAGAAGCAGCTTTGCACCAAGAAGGTGCCCAGGTCGACTGAGCTGATGCTAGCCAGGCTCTTCCTGGCTCACACAGCTTCAGGCCAGTGAGGTCAAAAGGTGAAGCAGGAAGCACGGAGATCCCGGCCCGTGGGTGCAGAGTCCAGGATCCAAGGTTGATGGGAAGATGGCAGGGCACCGACCGGTCTCCTGGTTGGTGGCCCGCATGGGGCTGCCTGGAGGCTGACACAGAATCCCAGCAAGGATGAAGGCACAGGGCGAGAGCGAAGGAAGCAAGTACCCGCTGTCTCCCTTATCGGAAGGCACGCCTCCCAGGAGGCATCATCAGGCTGGGACCTGATTGACAGCTTGGACTCCACCCCTCCACAGGTGCAAGGCGACAGAAGCCCTAACTGCCACAGAATCTAATGCAACATGGGTCACCTTTCTTCCAAACGTGCAAACAGGTGTTTAAGTAAACAACCAATTATTGAAACATTTTCACTGGGGGGAACTTTTACAAGGGGACTTCAAACAGTTCATGGGAAGATGCCACTGTTTTTCAGTTCTGTGTGTTCATTAGCTTTTTGATTCCCTCCCATATGGTAGTGACAATATTCTCTTGGTGCTTACGGTGACTGAGGAGCCCAGGTGCCCTAGTGGTTGTGTGTGGCGCTGCGAACTGCAAGGTCAGCAGCTCAAAACCACCAGCCGCTCCGTGGGAGCATCGAGGGGCTCCCTACTCTCTCCTAAAGAACGACAGTCTCAGAAACTCACGGGGGCTGGGGCCCCTGTGAGTTGGCATCAGCACGATGGCAGTGAGTTTGGGTTGGTTTTTGTGGCGATGAGATAAAGCAGTGGCAGGTCAGTGGTGCTTGTGCTGGCTCCCGGGTCCGTTCTACCTCTGGATGTCCCAGGCCACAGAGCTGCAGTGTCCCATGGGCTTTACTTGACTGTGCTCCAGACAGAAGGGCCCATCTTCTTGCTAACTCCTGGGTGGGCTTGAACCACCAACCTTTGCCAGCAGTTGAGCATAAACCGTTTGTGTCAATGGTAGTGGGTATGTGTGTTTAAGGAGATCCTTCCATTCATTCTATCGTTACTACTTGAGCGCTTAGTACATGCTGCACACAGGTTCAAGGTATGGGAAGTACTGCTAGGAATAAAAAGGCCAAAATGCCAGTTAGTACTTGGGAGTGGGGGCAGAGGGGAGCGCTCACGAAATAAAATAGGTCAGTCGGTAGTATTGTACATTAGAAATTGTACAAGTGTTTTGAAGAAGATAAAAGGTGGGGGTAGGGATGCTGATGGGAAGAGAATGGCATGTACCACGTCAAGGATGGTGTGACTCAATGGAGCATTTTTTGCACCCTAGTTTTGGGGAAATGGACATACATGTGTACCTACAGAGATCAAGTTAAAAGCGTGGTGGTCAGGAGAAGCTTCTTGCAATGGTAGATTTGCTCTGACTTCTGAGAAGGCTGGAGTTAGGGGTGGCTTTCCTGGAGTGTGTTCGTTAGCACCGTGTTGTTGCCTGAGGGGTGCCTGAGCTAGCAGCAGACTCTGCCACCCCAGAGCACGTTATGCTAATTGCTAGAGACCCCCATAGCCTCTACAGCAGCGGTACCTGTGGGTCACAACAACCCTTTCACAGGGGTCACTCGATTCATAACAGTAGCAAAATGACAGTTATGAAGTAGCAACAAGAATAATTTTATGGTTGAGGGGTCACCACAGCATGAGGAACTGTATGAAAGAGCCGCAGCATTAGGAAGGTTGAGAACCACCGCTTTACAGTAAGGGCCCAGGGACTCGGTAGCCCAGCATTCCTGGGCCCAGGACTCTGCTTCTCTTAGGACCCCCAAGCGTGTGAAATGTGGGTGCTGCAGAACACTGCTGTAAGCTCTAGCTTTCTCTTTAAGTGACACTCTGGGGATTATAGTTGTCATTTGTGTTTCCGTTCATATTTGCAAAGCATTTGAAGGTCATCAATCACTGTAACTAAAACAGCAGGGTGAATGTGACTCTCAACAGCTCTATGGGAAAATCGTGAATGAGAATTACTTAGTTTTGGGACCTCGGTTTCCACCGTACATGCTTTTTCTTTTCTCTGTGCCCTACGTACATTGGTTCCATAGGAGGGAAAAGAGTTACCGTATATATTCGAGTATAAGCCGACCCGAATATCAGCCGAGTCACCTAATTTTACCACAAAAACTGCATCAAAAATGTGCTGAAAAACTCGACTTATACACGAGTATATACAGTGTCTTCAGTGTTGAAAATGGAAACATTCAAAAGATATGCCCTCTGATTTTAACAAAGGTCTGTCTCTTTCTCGTGTACCCCACCTCCCCCAACAGGTCTATTACCCCAATTTGGGATGGATGTGCATTGATGCCACCGATCCAGAGAAGGGGAACTGGCTGCGATATGTGAACTGGGCGTCCTCAGGAGAAGAGCAAAATTTATTCCCACTGGAAATCAACAGGGCCATTTACTACAAAACATTAAAGGTAACTGTTGGTCACTTTGCTTGCTTTTCCCGAAATGCTGTCCTTAAACAGTCTTGACGGACAACAGCATTGCAGACCTTGAAAGAGTTATAGGCAGTGTGCTTCAGCTCCAGTGTCCACATACCCTAGGATCTGTGTTTTAAGTACACGGTTGCCCCAGCCTCGTGTGTGCGCGTGAACCACAGCATGAAGCTCGTGTTAGGTAATTACAGACTGTCTCTTCCTAGACACGAATGAGTTAGTCTGTGCTCAGACACAGAGCATAAGAACTGCCCGACCGGCAGGTTGATCCAGCTATAAGCGGCTATCTGCGTGGCCGTGGTGGACTGTCCACCCCTGGAAACAGTCTTCACTGGACACACAGCGGGATGCTCTTTCCTTTCCCCAATGTCTATTTCAAGCAGAAACGCAGAACGCGCGTGTCCTCCTGCCAGACTTTTATTTGGATCATTCGCTGTTGGGGAGGAAGAGGAGCACGGCAGGTTCACGGTGTGCGGTGGGTCAGAGGTCACACTGGCCGCTGCGGTGTTTCTGTGGCATGCCAGCCCCTGCCCGCCTGCCTCGTTCCCCGGTGACCTGCCCCGCTCCCGCACATAGGTGCTCTGAGCCCAACTTGGAGGCCCCAAAGGCTGGCGCCTTTGCGCTGCCAAACTGATATGCTTGTCAAAATTGTTGTGAGGCAAATTTCTCTTACTCCACTGTCTTTCATTAAAATGCCATCATTTGGGGAGAGGGGTAGGGAGGGGCATGGCAGCCCGTGAAACAATAATCTTCACAGAGTTGAAAATTTTTTGATGAGCAAGCACTTAGGACAGCAGACAGCCTGCGCGTGCCAGGAATCCCTAGTAGGGCAGCCGGTCTCATTTTCTCTGTAGCACAAGGGGCTTCAAGAAGTACGTGGAAAAATGGAATGAAAAGACAATAGAATTTTTCCAAGAACTCTTTGAAGCCCCCTCATAGTTAACGTGATCTCATCAGCCAGTTGCATGGTCTTTTACCTCATCTGTCCCCACTTCCGTGCTGCCCATCCCAGTAGGAATGAGCTTTTTTGTGATGGTTTATCATTTAAAGTGTCTGCAGCCTTAATTTCCTTTCTGTTGGACTGTAAACCAAGCGTTCCTAGTAGGTATTACTGTCCAATTTTGCTACACTGGAACTTGAAATTTGATTCAAGAATGCGTCTTGTTCTCATGACTGTTTACAGCGTGTGGGCTACATCAGGTTGGGCCAGTGAGGTCGAGTCCTGGTGGAGATGGATACATACGCATCAGTCCCCGTGAAGAAGGAAGCCTCAAGGGAAAGCAGGCTCGGGGACATATTAGGACACTTGCCAGTGTCTTCATTAGACCTCAAGTTCAAACATGTTCATTTTGGAGGCAGATTTACAGGAAAACTGAGAAGCAGAGAAAGTATTCATTAGGAAAATGGACTCTGAATCTAGCCTGCCAGGATTGAATCCTGGCTTGTGTGTGACCCTGGACAAGTGTTTCTTGGTTACTACTTGGTGACTTGACTGGCTGTGTGACCTCACGGAGATCACCGTCCCTGCCTCACCTGTAAGATACAGATCACCCTCGTATTGATCTCATACGGTTGTGATGATACCTGAGTAATACATACTGAATGCTCGCGTCTGGGAGGTGGCTCGCTATCTGACAGCTATTGCTTTTACAAGGGGCAGGGGTGGTGTGAGTAATTCCCCATCAGCTGCTAATTTACAGGTTGGTGGTTTGAACCCATCCAGTAGATCCACAGAAGAAAGGCCTGGCAAACTGCTGTTATGCAGTTTATAGCCAAGAAAACCCCGTAAAGCCGTTCTACCCTGACACACGTGGGGTCATTGCCTGAGTCGGGAGCCTATTCCAGGGCAGCTAACATTCTTCATGGAGAGGTGGTCTGCTGTGGTGGAGAGTGGGACTCTGGAGGCTTCTAGATGTGTGACCATGGAGAGAGACTGTATATTGTAGTTTTCTCATCTGTAGAGAATCCTAGAGAATACTAGTACCAGTGTATACAGTTGCTGTAAAGGTGAACCAAATCTTTCAGCAAGACAGTAAGTTTCTCTGAACAGTTCCTAGTCCAATGTGTGCACTCAGTTAACTTGCTATACTATGATTTTCACTTCTCTTTATCCAAAATAATGCAGGTTTTTGTTTTTCTTTTTGCTCTTTTTAGACCTCCCTCTATCGTAACTGTTGATGTTAGCCCTCGTATGCACAAGGCTTGGCAGGTTCCGAGTCAGAGATTATCTTATTGTACCCATTGTTTCCAAGTCCAGCCTTCTGTGCGTTCGATTTTAGGAAATAAATGATATTTGCCGTTCTCTGGGCTTTATAGTGCCGTCTCAACTATTACCCAGAAAGTTGGGAAATCTCAACTCTGGTTTCATTCATATTAAAAGTGATTTTAAATTCTCCAAAGTTAACTGTTAAGCCTTATAGCTGTTAATTGTGCTATTGGTTATTTCCGCTCTGTACCATGCGTGTTTTGATATGAGTGTCCAGGGCAGATAATGAGCAAGTCCATACCAAACCGTCAAAGCCACTGCTTCTGCGTGGACTCTGACTCAGTCACCCTACAGGCCAGACTAGAACTGCCCCGCCGTTTCCAAGGCTGTCAATCTTTATGGGAGCGGAGGTCCTTCTCCGAGGAGGGACTGGTGGGTGTAAATTACTGACCTTTCAGTTAGCAGCCAAGTGCTGCACAACTCTGTTACTAGGCAATCTGTGAACAAATCACTAAATAAAATCGTTTTTGATGGTGATAACTGCTTTGAAGACAGTGACGTGTGATAACAAATAACTAGTTGAGTCAGGGAAGGCCATTCTGAATCCCATGCAGGATGAGAAGGAACTGACCGCACAAAGACCGATGGGAAGAGCAGTCTAGGAAGAGGGAACTGTAGGAGCTAAGAATGTGAAGGAGGAGTAAGCTAGATTTGCATTTACTTATTTTTTAAGGAATTGGAAAACGCCAGTGGGGCAGGAGTGTCCACCCACATGGAGGTGGGCAGGGGCCACCCACAGCGAGAAGTGTGGGCTTTTGTTTTACGTTCAGTGAACCCATTTGTGAGTTTAGGCAGAGGTCTGACCTCGGATGTTTAGGATGGTGCTGGCTGCTGGGTGGGGGATCGGCTGGAGGCCGTGAAAAGCGGGCGTCTTTGTGGGCCTCTTTGGTGTGCTCTAATAATTCTCAAGCATTTCATTTTTACCTAGTGTCGAGAAATTTATTGAAGCCCTTGCTTTTTCTTAATTGGTCTGGTAGGATTTATATAAAAGTTATGTATATAGATAATTCAAGAAGAGAGTGTACTTGGTTTTATAAAACTTTAGAACCCAAAGAGAAAATTGGAAGAATTAAAATATTAAAAACAAAACAACACACAGTAATATAGTACAGAAGAAAGCAGTCATTGATTTAAGAACTGTTATTTTCCTCTTCGTAGAAAGGCTTGTTTTTAGCTGTCTTAATGTAAAGTTAGACTGCGTAAGCCCACTGCCCTGCTGGGATTCTGACTCGTGTCCCTAGAGCAGCTAACAAATCGGGTTGTCCTTACACTAGCTATCCACCAGCCTATTAGTCATCTAAAAATTTAATATGAGGAGGTAAAAAATGGATACTGGCATATTTTTATATTGTGTGCTTTAACTTAGGTTGTGAATGTCCACTTAAGGAAAGAATTTGGTCTCAGTATAAAGATACCACCCTTCCCTTTGCAATTAATTAACATGGGGGGTGTTGCAATTTGAGACAGCAAATAACCCCATTCTTCCTCAAAATTTCACCCATTAGTTTTAGCAGCTAGTGATGATATTTTGCCTGAATCAATCATACTGTGATGAGTATCGAATGGTGATTTTCTGGTAGACGTTTTTTATTGATTAGTTGGGATACTGCTCTAAGGAGAGGATTTCCCCCCTCACTTATTTCCCAGTTTGTTCTTATCACTGTGGGCTTGTAGACTCTTATTCTGTGGGTTTGGATGTAATTTTACTTGCATCAATCCCTGGGAACCTTGTGAATAGCACAAGAAGCCACATCTCAAAATTTATGTAGGGGTCTAATTTTTGTGCTCAGGATCTTGTTCAGAATGTAATCAGTTTATGTCCTCACCACTCATCATTTCCATATATGTCTGTTAAAAATCTAATATTTTATACTAATAGTATAGAGATTCCACCCCAAGACTACATCTACCCTCCAGGTCTGGAACTTGAACTCAACAGCCACTCAAGATCAAAGGCATAGCATTTACCCAAGGACAAAGCTCAGAGGGTTAAGAAGGAAAGGGATGCAAGCAGGAAACACGGGGAGGAAGTGCTGGTGCACTGAGGGGACAGCAGTGGTTGTTGGAACAAAGTGCATAGGAACTTGAGTGTAAAATTGATGGTCTCTGTAAAACTTCACCCACGTCACAATAAAAATGTAATGTTTGAGGCATAGAATACAGGTTGAGTGTAGACCCGTCTTCTCACTGTCTCGATGTCTCCTGCAAATGTCAACGCAGTGAAACTTCATGGCCCTCAGCCGACTGGTGGGACTGGGGACGGGATGGATTTGTGGGACCATTGCATAGGCCCCGCGCTGCCTCCCCTCCCGGTTTGCATTTCTGGGTGATATAAATAGCAGTGACTTCTAGTTCTTCCTTGTCCTCCAGCGTCACTTGCCTTTGGAATGGAAACGTGCCTGGTAATTAGTATTCAGCACCTCTTCCCCTGCCGTCTGGCTCTTCTTAATTGTGCTTTAAATTTCTCACCAATTTAGGCTTCGTGGGCTAAACGGTTCCATGTTTTATTTTTTCCTCCTGCGTGGGTAGCCAGGCGGCTTTGGAAAGTCCCACTGGAGAGCAAGCATATGGCATTTTTTCAGGAGAAAACGGCCCGTCTTGGGCCACATTATTGGCTGGCTGCTGGCGAGCGCCCGCCCGGGCCGTCGGGCCCCAGTGCATCGGGGCGCCTCCGTGCCCGCTCGCGGCCCGAGCGCACGGCTTCCCCCGCGGAGGCGCGCGGCCGGCGCCGGGGAAGTGAGGTCCTCCTTCCAGCAGAGGGTTCCTTCCCCGCCGGCGGCTTCGGCGGCGGCGGCGAGGAAATATGCGCGGCGCCGAGGCCAGCTGTTTTGCGATCGGCGCCGCGGCTCCCGCCCCTGGCCGAGCGCCCGCGCCCCGCCCTCCGCCAACAACCGCCGCTCTGATTGGCCCGGCGCTTGTCTCTTCTCTCCCTGCAGCCAATCGCGCCTGGCGAGGAGCTCCTGGTCTGGTACAATGGGGAAGACAACCCCGAGATAGCAGCTGCGATTGAGGAAGAGCGAGCCAGCGCCCGGAGCAAGCGGAACTCCCCGAAAAGCAAGAAAGGTAGGAGCCGCCGCCGCCCGCCGG